GGATATAAACGATGACCAAAAAAAAAAAAGGCCGAAGATCCCGACACTAGTTGCTAAACAATTGAGACATTTTTCTTCTAAAATTTACAGCATCATTTTTTTTTTTGCAAGATTGTTTTTAGGGGGGGCACATACCAATAAATTCAAGATGGCCGCCACGGCTAATTTCAAATGGCCTAACTCAGCTGTTTTAAGAAATACTGAGCTGAAATTTTGTGAGATTGTTGCAAAAGAATGACTCGACCTTTGGTATGGTGGTAGCCAAGAGCAATCCTCACGACGATTTTAAAGCTAGTATCAACTTTAAGCTAATGGCTAATGCTAATTTGAGAAAAAAAATACATATTTTAGCCAATTTTAGACACAGAAAGCTGAAAATTGGTTTAGTGTTAGCCGACAATAATCCCCAATAAATTCTGAAAGCAAAATAAAAATATATTTCAAGATGGCTGCCACGGCTAATTTCAAATGGTGCTAACTCAGCTGTTTGAAGAAATAAAGGGCTGAAATTTTGTGTGATTTTTTTGGTGTATCGAGCTGAACTCTGGCATGGTGGGAGCTGCTATCACCAGCATAAAGTAACTTTAAAATGGAGCCCAATTTTCAATAGTTGGTTCTTAAACCCAGAATTATTAAATATAATTATTTTGTATTAATTCAGTGCTTTAGAGAAGTTATTGTTGATGAGTTCCTTTCATACCAGATAATACAGCAGCTGACAGATATTTAATATAAATTGCCTATCTTTGAGGGTGGCACCTGGGGTGACCAATCACGTGCCACCCCTGCCCCCCCTCTGGCTCCGCCCCTGATCTGATGCAAACACTAAAGATGTTTGTGTTTATTCAAGTCTGACAGGAAGTTTACAAAAAAAACTAAACAAAAAGCTGATCCGAGCCCACCGTCTTCACCAGATGTGACACAGCTGTTCCAGTAACGGTTCTGACGGTTCTGCTAAAGTCTGGACCGGGTCGGTCTCGCGGTCGTACCTCTTTTTGAAACTTTCAGGTGGTTTCAGTTCAGTCGTGACGGAGCTGCCGTCCAGAGAGATCACATGAAGGCCGACGGTTGGGTTGACCTGACCCATCTGTACAGGAGATATACAGAGGCGTGTTAACGGGCCCGGCAGGTTCTGGTACCAGCAGGTTCTGGTGCCAGCAGGAGCTCAGAAATAAGAGCATCTGTGTTTGGTTTGAAGCCAGAGGCAACGACGCTCATCATTAAACAAAAAGATCATTTTTATCAGAGCTGACAGACTCTTTAATGCATCACCCGCCCTCTTCGGGTCTTTATTCCTCTGATGCATCGGTTCTGGCCCGGTCGGGTTGGTACCATCTGCCTCAGATCCAGTCAGCCGATTTAAATCAAGACGTTTAAAAGATAAATAAAATATAAATCACTGTTTTTCTCTGGACTGAAAGAATGAYTGTTTCTCTGAACGTCTGCTTCAGGAGGATCATCAAGACCTGATCTGCTTCCTGGACCACTGGACCGGGTTTTTACCTGAGGGGGTACAGATTTCACTGGACCAGGTCTTTACCTGACGGGGTACAGATTTCACTGGACCAGGTCTTTACCTGACGGGGTACAGATTTCACTGGACCAGGTCTTTACCTGACGGGGTACAGATTTCACTGGACCAGGTACCTGACGGGGTACAGATTTCACTGGACCAGGTCTTTACCTGACAGGGTACAGATTTCACT